ATATGCATATTCTTATGGTATAATTTTTTAAAATGATTAAATATTGTACATACAAATCAACAAAGCAACACAAAACTTAAATGCATTGTTATAAAAATAAGGAGATAAGGTATTAGTATGAGACAACTATCCACCAAAGTTCAAATGAAGTGGATGTAAACAATTATAGTTCGTTTTCGGCTTATGAGTTTGAATATCCCTTAGGTATCTTGCGCCTCTATTTTTACATATGTTTAGATATGTTCCCTCTTAAAAACCTTTAAGACTAAAATCTTTATTATAATGTCTATTTAGTCGTTTGAATAAACATTGATTTCCTTGTTTTACAGACAACCACATTGATTATTGTTTTTAATACAATAAAGAATTGTTTTTACAGCAAAATATTTTAATGTAAGATGGATTCTGTTTTTAACCTTATATACTAAACACGGCTATAAACTAGAGGCAGTAATAGTTTATATATCTCTAAAGCTTATAAATCCAATATGAAGATACTAATTAATTTTAAAAAATTAGAGACCTGGATGAAATACAAAGAGCGCGAGATCAGGAAAAAATACATAAATAATAGTCTAAGAGAATAATGTACCCATATCAAACGAATACGATAAATTTTCATACGATTTTTGCTTACCATTATATGCTTTCAGCATAATTTGTAAGTTTTCTATTAAACTTAACGAATCTAAGGTAGTCAGACAGCTGACGATTACTTTTTCATGCCCACGTTTTGAATTATATTTTATGTCCCAAATATCTTTGGAGATCAAATTGTGTATGAAGAGGCGAAAAAGAGCTTTTAGATTGAAAACAAAATACTTTTAAAAGAAACTTTACGAGACTAGCTAAATTTATGTGAGGTAAACTTTCCGTCTGCAATTTGGGACCTTATATTCCTTGATAATTTATTAATGTATCAGCATCGAACCACGAACTACCGGTCCATAAGTGTGTGTATCGACCAAGTGAAAGTAAGTGAAATTGCCAATTAACACATTTCGTACATCCGACGCGCTTTTTGGATTTGCCTTCATTAGGAATGCTCACATCTAATCATCTAAATGCAAAACAAAATAATAAAAACCTGAATAGATGGAGCTATATGACCAAAAAGCGTCTTAAAAACAACCATAATCCTATAAGGACATGTTTGCCTGATAGAGTTTGAACCTTAGTTACTTTTAATAGTTGGGTTTTTTTTCTAACAGAGTATTTGATACATAATCGCAGATGTTTTGGTAGATCAAAAGATTATCTTAATATCTTATAACTAGTACCTAAATAAAAAAATATAAATTACGGTCCGTTGATCAACTGCCAAATTCATTTTCACAGGTTCTGAAATCGGTAGTACGTGCGTTTATTAATACACCAATAAGATAAACTTTTACTTTGTTATTAGTTCCTTTCAAAAAGTAGAAACCCAGACGCTTAGCGAATTGCTTAGGTTACTAGCAACTTTTGAAATTAACTTATTTACGACAAACAGTAACTGCATTGCGTAATTAGTGCATCTACTATTCGAAAGAGTAATTATCGAAATGATCTTATAATTTATTTTAAAGATATAATTCTACATATAATCGAAAAAAGTATATTTTATTAACTAATATAGAGCTACTGCTATTTCCGCCTTCAGATAAAAAAATTAGAAATCAATAATCGAAATGCGAATCACCTTTTTAGTGTTATCACGTTACTCTGGTACGACATTCGGGACACTCTTTGAATACTTGTATATATTGGTTACTCACAGACATCAACAGCATAATAAACTATAAAGATACAAAACACATTCCTATCTTAATAGACGGTTTAAGATCACAAAATGTTAATACTCACATAGTGCAAGACAGTTGACAATGACAATTAACATGAAACTCTTCATTTTACAAAATAGATTCTTATCTGATTACGGAAGTTTCATTTCCGGTCAGTGATGACACATTGATAACAAACAAAAAAGTGTTTAGGAAAAAGGTTTTTTTTTAAAAACAAATGTAGGATAAAGACACACGTCTTATTTAAAAAAAGGTGCATATAAAGACATAATGCAATCGAACATTCTAGTTCGATTAAATGCACACTCAAAGACATAAATCCTTATGAAGACTAAGCTGTTGTCACGGATCACTCTAGATCGTCCCGGTTTTTAGTTTAAACAATTTGTATTTGGATAAATCATAACAATATGATACATTCACATGAAATAAATATTAAAGATTCAAAGTGTACTAAATGATACAGTTAGTTTGAAGTTACCTTAGATGATACTAAGGGTAATGATGGCTCTTAATTCTCAAGAGGCAAATTGAATTCATATTCAGGACCAACAATTTTTAATGTAATATGAAATTGAGCCTGCTTTATACCTGCCTTATAAACACGGATTTTTAATGTGCTAGTTCACAAGGTAACTATACGCAGGGAGGCATTTCACCCTACCCGGATACATCATTCTGACTTCGGGAAAATTGGTCTTCGTTCTAACTTCTATTGTAGGTGCTGCGAAGCAACAAATACCTATGTTCAAGTCTTTGGTTTGGCGCAAACGGGGATCAAACCCAAGACCTCCAACCCTCTAGGCGAGCACGGTACCACAAAACAATTTCCGAGAAGGTTTTCATCTCGTATAAATATTGAGTTGCACATTGGTTCGATTGGCTGTGTGAGATTGGATAAATTATTTGTTATGAAACCATGTCGAATCACTAATTAATTATTTTTTTATTATTCTATGCCTATTCGTAACATACTTCATTTCCGGTTAAATAAAATATTTTCCCTTCTTATGTTGCACCTTCATGACCTCTTCAATTTCCCGACCATATACAATCAGTCCTTTAACATGTTTAAAAACTCTTATCTATATTTTTCTATTATATTCCTTAAATCACAATTATTCCTGTTTTAACATATACTTTAAATTTGTCATATTGTTATTATGCGAAGACAAAAAGGCAAATATCAGCATTGAAATAGCTTCGTGGTCGCCAGCATTACTTTTTTTTTCTTGATGAATAGATCCATTCAAGTTACTGATTATAAGTTTCCTTTTGCTCGTAAAGTTATTTCGTTTTTTTTACATCCTTGGCTTGCTGTACATTTTTTTTGCTTTGAACGTTCCTTGTGAAGGTCAAGAAAAGCGCTTCTAGTACATAAAATGTAAAAAAGGTCATTTTCACTTTTAAATAAGCTTGAGGTGTCTGTCAAACTTCCAATAGGAATAGGATTATCAGAAAAAATGAGTTTTTCATCCATCTATGTTTTAGTCATAACCAATGCCCTTGATATAGTTGTGTTTGTAGAAATTAACTCTTTTGTACATGTGTGAAAAAGTAGAGATATGTATTCCGAAAGGATCCTCCTAATGTGCGTGTTTACAAGGCTATTTAAGAATTTATAGAAACTTGCCACAATCAAATTTTTAAACCGTTCTCATTCGGTGAGTGTTAGCACCAAGGTAATCAATAATTAGAAAACCAAATATTTATGATGGTCTGGGTGGAGGGTCCTGCAGTTCTTTATTCTTTATTTTTTTCTCTTTTCTTTCTCTTTTTTTTATCATTAATCTCTTTTCTTTATATTTTGAAACTCCATTAATCTCTATTCTTTATTTTTTGGCCTATTTTTCTCTATTCTTAATTTTTGAGCCCTTTATTCTGCACCTTTTGGCCATTATTCTCTACTCTCAGTCTGTAAACCCCATCGAGACCATCATTTATACAGAAGATTACCGCGTGGTTCCTGTTTGTATATTTTTGTTTTTCCACAGACCTATAAATGCGTTTGATTTATTGTGTCCGTGTTTTATCCGATGGGTTCGAACTTCCATTTTTTTTTACATTCCCATCCTTAGAAAGCAAACCACTCAATTCAAGTTTCCTGGTTTAATTGGAGCAGGTACATTAAGAAAATGGCGCGGTTGATATATGAAAATAAAGAAAAGGGGGTATGATTCCTGATGATTGTGATTGATATAACTATTCTCCAGAGACCAATGGACGAAGGTGCATACAACTAAAGGATATTGTACGGCCTTCAACAATGAGCACAACCTATATCGTTTAATAAGCAATACTAGTATGTATACATTTATTTATTGAAAATATAATAAAATTTTACACGTTTAAATAGACATCCAAAATTCTTTATGGGAATATAATGTAATGTGTTCATTTTATGTCATTTACACTGTTTAAACAAATAAGGACGATAGTAAAATAATCTTAACAACGAAGTAATGCGTCCTTATTTAAATACAAACAAAAAGTTCAATAAAGACTTGTTTATCAAACTTAAGCGATAACTTTGTCGAGTGCGGTTAAAATATGCGTAGGTTTATATTTTTTCCTTTTAAACCTTTGACCACCTAATGGATATCATTACAGAAACATTTTGTAAACACGGAATTTTTTTTCTCTCATTTTTTTATTAACAAATAGACTGAATACTTTTGCTGTTGTGATCATCTTCCGTCTGACTCTCCTCATCTTACTACTACGAATAATAATGAAAAGCGTTGTCTACATTGTTGCTATCGTTACAATGTTTTAAAAAGCCGTGTAATAAATAAATCATAGTTTCTACATTTTTCTTTTAATATGAAAACAAGAACTTGTGGTATGATTGCCAATGCTACAACTATTACAGCTCTTCTATATAAGCATGCAAAGCAAACCTTTAATCAACTTGCTTGCTATGTTTGCTTGGATGTTTGCAAACAATAGGTAGGCGGAGTTTCAGTCTGTTTTATATATACTGGGATTTGATTGGACAATAAAAATTGACATGCAATAAAGTTAATGTTTATTGTCCTATCAAATTCCATTATAAAGTAAACAGACTGAAACAGACTACCTACCTTTTGTTTACAAACATCCAAACAAACATAGCAAGCAAGTTGATCAAAGGTTTGCTTTGCATGCTTTTATAGAAGAGCTGTAATCAGAGTCCAAATGACGTGAATGTAAGCAAATAGCATTACTATAGGTCACAGTACGGGTCATAATTAGGATACTAAACCATAAAAGGCTCCATAAGAGGTTCCGCAAAATTTGAAACGCTTCTAACGAGATAACCAACTGCCTGATTTATGACCTAAACAAAAACGAAAACAAATATGACAGACAGCAAGTAAGACAGTTTTAAATGCCACTTGGACACCCGAATGACAAAGCCTCCCTAAGCCTTATCATAAACAATAATTTCTCCATTTTTTCCGGGTTTCTTCGAATCGGAAATATGATAATCAGATTCTGATCTTCCACGGGGAAATGAATGAACATAGAACTCATCATTATCTACTGTTGGCAACCTCTCTAGCGTATTATAGGTAGGATCAATAGTGTTCCGAATGCCTGAAGTGGTGTCGTATAAATTGCCATGCGCACTTTGTTTTCGTTTGTCTAGGTTATTCGAAGTATCATATTCTCCGACAGATGATTCCATGTATGTATCTCCTATATCACAGTAACTAGTATGTTCCTTTTCCTTCTCATCTACTCCCTCATATTCTGATTTAATAACTTCCATTTCAAAAGAGTTTCTTTTATAATCTTTCCATTCATTATAGCTTACATAAGCATGAAGTGTTATTCCTTGCTTTTCATTTGAACATTCAGTAGGTTTTGTATCGTCCATCTTTCCAAAAGGATCATTTTTTCTACAAATATCAATAATCTTATATTTTTTTTTTTAGAAAACAAAGATTCAACAGTTACAAACTGCATTATTTTTACATAAATAACAGTGCATGTGTGTTTAATGATAACAACGACACGATTTCAGTTATATTACTTTACCATTTCAAAAACTGCTTTTATGCAGATCAATAGTTATAATAAATATAACACTTGGTATCATTTTGAACAAGGTTCATCATGTTCATATACATTTACCAATTTATGAATTATCATTCATGAAGATATCAATGGCTACTGTTGCATTGAGAATGGTTCAGTAAGCTGAAGTCTCTGATGAACCGACTGAAAATGTGTTTTATTGGCATATAACATCATGTTTTCAATGTCGTTGAAACATGCTAGACTTTATAAAAATACATAGACATTATTCAAATAGAATTGCTTTTGAGCACTGAGAGGTGAACATTGCTTTTCATTTTGCATTGTGAACTAAAAATTTAACATCACATTGTATTAATTATTAAAGCAAAGGACCATATAGGCAATACTTTGAATTGTTTGATTTCCTTTGTACATATCGTAGAAAGAACATATAAATCTGCACGCCCTTTACCATATTTTTTGTATAGTTTGAGATATCTAAGACAGTTTGTTCTTCTGTAGAAAATATTTATTTGTTCGATGTTATATATACCTTTGTAGCAATAATATTACAGTATATCTTAAAATGTTGCTATCGACCTTAAATAATGTATTGAATGCAATTTTAATGAGTTGAAGATGCTTACTCTCAGAACACTTAGCTTTCTAAAGGTTAAGTCGTATTTAGGGTGAACATACTGCTACCGTATTTGTAACAATATATAGTCAGTGGCGGATCCAGTGGACGTAGAAGGAGTACGCTCCAACTTTGACCGAAAAATACATATTCCCATTTCGTTGGATGTTGATAATCTGGGTATATATTATCATTAATAAATTGCTTGAAAGGATATAACGAATGTTCATCTTACTGCACTTTTTTGTGTGTACTCACAAACACAAGTCCAGAGGACTATTGCTAACCAGACAATTACACTAGGGATTCGACTGCATTTGGTGCAATCCTTACAAAAAATGAATTTAACAAATTACCTTCTCTTGCGAACAATCAGTACTGCGATGACAGATGATATAACAATTGCAAGTATTCCTTCGACTATCGGACCTAATAATACACACAAGAAATCAAAATACTACTCGATCATGAAAAAGGGGTCATTGTACCAGTTTTCTTTGTATGATTGTATCCAAAAATCAACAAATTGAATGTAGTTTGAAATATCTAAGATAGTTTGTTCTTCTGTAGAATATTTATTTGTTCGATGTTATATACAACCTTTGTAGCAATAATAATACAGTACATCTTAAAATGTTGCTATCGACCTTAAATAATGTATTGAATGCAATTTTAATGAGTTGAAGATACTTACTCTCAGAACACTTAGCTTTCTAAAGGTTTGTAACAATATATAGTCAGTGGGCGTAGAAGGATAATGCTCCAACTTTGACCGAAAAAAAAATAAAATCTAATGTTTCGCACAATGTATACACATTTTATAGCATATCATCGTCCGAAAAACTTTTGCTTATATACACTGAGTTTTCTGAACTTACGCCCTACACCCTCCTTATCGAAAATACTGGATCCGCCCCTGTTAGTACATCGAGTAATAACCAATGAACATGTATTTGTCTAATACATACCTATATATTTTAAAAGTGTCATGTTATCAATTTTCTTTTCCATATAGATGTCTGGCTTTCGAAAAGATCTAGTCATGTTTTCGTTTTCTGTTGGAAGAGAAACCAATGTGGGTTTAAAAGATATGATGACATGATAAGATAAATTATAACGAGTGAGCACTCGGACGTTTGATTGGTTGTTGCTTAGTTAAATTCCAGGAGTTGCATATCTGTGCAGCTTATCTTATTTTGTGTCGTTTACGCTGTTCCATATCAAATTTTTTTCAAATTAATTCAAAATGTTTTTTCTTTTTCTTTTTTTTTTTAATTATTTCACTTTTTGTCATGTTGCGGCCTTTTACAGCTATCTACTAGTATTCAGTATGGGTTTTGCCCATTGTTGAAGACCGTTGATTAAATTCGTTTCATTTGAACTCTTTGGATAGTTGTCACATTGGCAATCATATTTGGTGCAGTAAATTGGTACAATTAATGTCGTTAATAGCACATCTGCATATTTTATATATATAACAAGTAGACTAACTTTTTCTGCAAACAACCCACTTCAACTTAGTACTGCAATTTCTAGTAGTAATATTGAGCGTCTTGTAACTATTTGAAACGTCGACAATTCCAGATAAACATCGCACTGGCTTGAAATTACCGGCTTCTTCTGTTTAAATGAAAATTATTAAATACAGTTAATGCTTCTGGAAAGTCATTCATTAATATATGTTTCTAAAAATTCTTAATCTATAGTTTTAGAAGAATTAAAATGAGTAATATTTTCATTAATGATATTACAAGCAGAACTTTCATGCAGAAAGGTAAGTGTGGCACTCCTTCTACACGATGCAATGGAGATAACATCCCTTTTCCGACCACCGAACGTGACTGCGTACTTATGCATCCTAAACAGCTTCTTTATCCTCATTCAGACCGGACGTGACGACGTACTTACGCATCCCACACATCCTCTTTAACATGTGTTTTATTTCTGCTTGTGCAAGTGCAAGTGACTTTATATATATATATTTCTTATTCCCAGCAAGTCAACTCTATGATATTTGAATTAACTTATTCATTTATGCAAATATTTACGATAAAATTTAGAATGGAAATGGGAAATGTGTCAAAGAGACAACAACCCGACCAAAAAGCAGAAAATACCACAAGGCCACCTGTCCAATGGGTCTTCAACACAGAGAGAAAATCCTGCACCTGGAGGCGGGCTTCAGCTGGCCCCTAAATAGACGTCATACTAAACTCCAAACATCTAAATGAACTAAAATTAAAAAAACATACAAGACTAACAAAGGCCAGAGGCTCCTGACATGGGACAGGCGCAAAAATGCAGCGGGGTTAAACATGTTTTGTGAGATCTCAACCCTCCCCTTATACCTTTAGCCAATGTAGAATGAACAAACACACAGCAATACGCGCAGTAAAACTCAGTTTTTGAATTAATGGGTTCTTTTAAAGGTGTTTTTGCGTGCGTTTAGATAAATAGCGACTAGATTTAGCTATACGTAAACCATATATTAGCCCTAGGCCTAACCTTACATTAACTCCTAACACTTGGCCACAATACGTAGCTAAATATTACCCAAAATAGTCAACGTTTGAAAAAAAATAATGCTTCTGAAACAGAATCTTCAGAGATGATATTTCCGTTTCCGAATATGCCATGTTTGCAATAATTGTTTATGTTTCGTGTGTGCGCGTTTTGATGGGTTGATGTCTCCTCCAATTTTATCCATATTTCTTTTTATTCATAAACGAGAGTCTGGATGTGGTTAACAGAATAGAGAATAATGGGCCACTACTACAGAAAAATGGACCAAAGTTCAAGAATGGGGAATTATTAAGGGCTAAAATATAAAGAATAGAGAATAATGAGCCAAATTTTATAAAGAATAAAGAAAAATTAAGACCCCTCCCCTCCATTTAGACCTTTATTAACTATAGGACAATTTGTCAGTCAGTAAATATTCGTACACAATATAGAATAAAATACTTACATTGTACCCAAAGAATGTCGAAGAATTACAAGACGACTGGCACAAGACAAGTGATGGAAATTTATAAGTTGTAGATTCATCCACTCGGTAACAACCTAGTTGATGTATAAAGAATATTTTAAATGATATGGAGGAAGGTCCATGCCGTGTCGTATACAGAACAATTTCATACATACTGAATATAAAAATAAGGAGATGAGGGATGATTGCCAATGAGACAACTATCCACCAAAGTTCAAAAGGGCCCAACATGAAAAATATGAAACAATTCAATTGAGAAAACTAACAGCCTAATTCATAACAAAAAAATTAATGAAAAACAAATATGACAGACATGAACCAACGACAACCACTGAACTACAGGCTTCTGACTTGGGACAGACACATATGGAAGTAAAATAACAGTAATGACTAAGCTTAGAGTCGTTTTCATTTTGAAGTTTGGTTTGTTTTTATGTTGTGTTTTTTTTTGTTCTTTTTTTAGGGGGGGTGTAATTTGTGCTTTTTTCTTTTAATTGGGGCAATATGCGTAATAGATTCTCCATAGGCGGTAATGTTAACATTTTCTTCTGTTGCTCAGGCCATATCGTAAACTTGGATATGTATGATGGCTCATTTTGAAGCTGAGACACTTGCACATGTGTGGTGCGATATTCGGGGTGGCAAGTGTGATTCGTTTTTCCGTCAAGTGCCCAACCCCGAAAGATAGTGAAAAATGTCACTCTCCTCAGGAAATAATCCCAAAATTCTGACCATAAAATTCATTAAAAAATATGTCCTTTGTAATTATTTGTTCAGGTTTATTTTTTTCTACTTTTTTTCACATCACATCAGCTCTATAAAACACCAGTCCTAGTTCATTTATGTCAATATTTAAAATCACAGCTTCCACAATTGTATGGCGGACTAATTTTTTAATGAGAGTCATAAATCTGTGTTCCTCATCTCAAGGTCCATTAGGGATATTGAACCGTATTAGATCAGCTTATGTCAGATTCCACTTATATTGCAGTTTGTATCCCTTTAGTACACATTTCTGAACAATTCTGTGAAGTTTTAGCCATATTTGAAATAAAATAAGCTCATTTTAATACTTTTAGGTAGCAATGTTTATAACTGTCACTATGTCACTATGTTCAATATCCTTTTTGAGAAGAAAAAAACACAATAAGCATATGTTATAAATTTACATTTTAAACATTTGTTTTAACTTTTATTGGTATAACTGCAATTCATAAGCCTCTTCTACCTTACAGACTTTCTACAAATCCTCATTTTTTGTTGATAAATCATGTAAATATAGTGTTTTTCACTTAAAAACTATCAGATTTAAGAAATTTTTCCACCCTGATAGTCTTGTTTTATATTATATTTTTTTTTTATTTAATAAATATCTCTAATGTATGTTTATTACTGTAAAGATTAGTCACAGACCTTTCCAAAACTAGTCTTGTTTTCAAAATCCATCAAGGAATAAGAATTTTAGAGGGTTTTTTTGTATGTGTGTTGAAAGTGGGAAAAATGGGTTATTTCTTTGGTGAAGAGTACATTGTGACGTCATTGTTTTTGTGACGTCATTGCATTATGACATCATAATTTAAAGTCGTACAATCCACCATTTTCTACATTTGAAAATGCCTGTACCAAGTCAGGAATATGACAGTTGTTGTCCATTCGTTTGATGTGTTTTGTCATTTGATTTTGCCATGTGATTAGGGACTTTCCGATTGAATTTTCCTCGGAGTTCAGTATTTTTGTGATTTTTTTTTTTTTTTTCGTACACATCTTACAGAGTGTATTGACATTGAAACATACCACACACAGCATCATACATGCAAATTAACACACATGTATTGCATAAAAATTTATTTTTCCTATCATGCACACATTCATTGATACAACATACAAGGAAATAAAATAAAATAAAATCATGTCCACATTTACTTCCATTTGCAACTATTTCAGTTCTGTTAGCTTTTTATTTTACTTTTGATATCCTAATTTTATAATTTTGTAGTTTTTGTTTGATTTGTTTGGTTTTTATATTGAAGATTTCTTTTAAAGCATGCTTACTTTAGTTGGTTCATGTGGTTTGAATGTCCCAATTTCCTGACACAGTTAAAAATACATTTGTAAACAACAAGAGTTACTCCCCCTCCTATGTCAATAAAAGGTAAACACTCGTGAAACAAGCCGTTAAATGTGTTACCTCAGGTTAATATAAACATGCATGTTTGTTTCAGTGTCTTGGAGGGTGAGAGGGAGGGCTTTTATCCCATTTTCATTTTTTAGCAGTGTAAGAAACTTGTATTTCAGTAAATGATTCATGCATAGTGAAGTGTGCAATATGTCACCTCGGAGACTTAAATTTTAGAATTAGAAATAGAACAAACCACAGTTTAAGATGCAACATGTAGTTAGGATATGTTGTGCCATGCAGTTCTATGGCGTACGG